GGCGGATTTAAATTTTCATTTCAGCTTTAAAATTTTTATTGTTTCCAGGCACACCCTATGAGGTGGTGGTTTTCCATACAATACAGTCGTGTCTAAATAGAAAAAAAAAAACAGCAAGTACTCGTAAGCAAATATGGTAAAATATTTATATGCCTGGCCCAACTCAAAAATATTATTTCCTAAGTGGCAGTAAATACAGAGAAATCTGATTCATTTGTCCTAAACGGTGGCCATTGAATCTTAGTGAAATTCCCAACTAAAAGCAAATCAATTCCATCATCTCCGAAACCTCAGAAACCTCCCCCCTCGGCAGCTGTCCGATCCAGAGATATCTCAATTTCCTGGCTGGCAGATTATGAATTTAAAATGCTCTTTTTAATTTGCTTTTGATTGCCAAGCATATTTGTGCTTTTGTTTTTCGAATTCCATTATTTACGATATCTCCTCCATTTCGTAGACATTTAATTTGTTTTCATCTTGCGTGTTTTACGGGCAGCCATTGCTCCTCCGTTCTGGCCAGAGATCGGAGATGGAACGATGGCGGAAATCGGCATCAGAAATACTCTTGTGAGTCACAGACTCTCCTTGACCTCCGCTGGAAGTTTGACGAATGACGGAAATCGAAACATGAAAACATTTCCTCGAGCCGAAAACAATCCACAGGCAGTCCAAATCCAAGTCCAAGATGAAAGCCTGTGGTCGGCGGGAGGTGGGTGGAAAATTGTTGGAAAACTCGGACACTGATAGGCAAATGATGCACATCACGACCGGCTTTGATTGATTACATTTCCCCCACCAAAGGAGCCTGTCAATGGAACGGATACTGGCATGCTAATGGGAAGCGTAAGTACAAAGCTTTGATGGTTGAGATAAGGAGAATCCAATGAATGTTAGATTTGAAAAGGTCCTGTATGCATATACTTGTAGATTGGCCTTCCTTATTACAGTTTTCAGTTCTAATAGTCTAGTGATATCTAAATACAATAAAAATATGAGATTAATTGGAAGATTTATAGAGATTTTAATTTTTAGAAGAAAATATTTAACTACTTTGAATTTTCTTTGAAAATTCTTAACCCTTCTTAATAATAGATTGGCTTATATCTTGCAATTTTTATTACATTCTAATTCCCCCTTAGTAATTAGAGAAAATTGACTGATACGTTTCAATAGCGATTCCACTTGAAATCAGGCCAAACGGCAGGCACTTGGGAAGGACTTGACGGGTTCTCGCAGCTGGCTGATGGCGAAATCGGATCAAAGGAGGCAGGGGGCTCCTAGAAATCCGATATATATAATGAAATATTCATACACATGTGGCGAGTCTCCCGTTCTCCCATTTGCCCACCCCCATTCCCTCTGTGTGTTCAACTTTCATTGTTGTGCCAAATACAAAAGGATTGAGAATCAACACACATGCACTTACACACTCATACACGAATATGCACTTACACTTACGCAAATGGCAGTTATGAGACGGCATTGGGGGGTGGGTGGCTGACATAATAAGAATAACGAGAACAACGAGCGACAGCAACTTGAGGCTGCTTGAAGTCAACCAACACTCTGGCGAAAGGAAACTGCCCTCCCCCTCCCGTAGTCGCACTTGGAAACATCTACAGCTTCGGTTAAAATAATAGTGATGGAATTTAAAAAAATATTACATATTTTAAATTGAGCTGTCGAGAATGGTGGGGTGAGTCCGATCAATTATCAAAAGGTCTTTTAAACCATTATACTTAATATTGTTTTTGTGACTATTGCATTAATTTTTAAGGAAGTCCCTGTACCAGGAAATAAAAAAATAAATAAATTAAATTAAATAAAAAAAAAAAAATGGTCAGTCAATTTATGTTTATTATCCTTTATTATCTAAAATTTTTTAGTTCAAGACGAGTTTTTTTAAACAAAAGATAGGTACCATTAAATGGGTAGCCTTTCAGTCTAATATTTATTATTTTACCATCTACAACCCGATTTCCAATTCCACAAAAATAGCAAAGTAAATGTAAATGCCTATAAAACTATTATATCTCTTTACGAATTTTCCATCTGAAAAATTACGTTTAAAAGCTTATATTACCTATACATTGACCTGCAATTACCATTATTATTATGACCTTAAGTGTGCGGATAGATATTTAGTGGGACTGAGCTAGGGCTATGGCTATTACTATCCTACATCCCGGTGCTTCTGGATTGCCGCGATAAGCCAGAAAGCCGAGGGAGACAGCAGCCATCGACATCAGCATCGACGTTAAGTGTTTATGGGATGTAGCAGCCCCTAATAGTATGTTTGTGGGTGTGAGGGCCGAAGGATTACAACAGCATCCAGGCATAACAATAACACTAAAGCAAGGACTGAACTACTGGGCCAGCCATTTGGCACAGATACGCGCACTCACAGATTCTCTTTCTGGCTGGCCGTGCATCACATCGGGAATCTGGAATTTGAAATCCGGAAAACGGAGTTCGCAGTCCTGCTGCGAGACGACACCGATTGGAAAACTCACGAGGGCCCAGCGGATGTGCAATGAGAGGCTGAAATTTGTTTAACCAGCAACAGCAGCGGAAATTAGGTTGCTCCCGGGAGCTGTTACATAAGGCCTGTGTGACCGAGTGTGCGTGTGGCTGACAGCAGACATAAATCTTGGCAAATATGCAAGTTGTGCCGCCCAGAAAGAGCAGCTAAGCCCAACAGGAGGCCACCGAGTGGCAAGTTGAGCCACGAGACAAGATATGCAACAGGAGTGGTCCAGCCACCGGAGAAACAAGTCCCCAACCCCCCTAGTTTGCTACATTCTGGACCTATTCCCCTAAGAGACTTCCGTTTCTGCCTCCTCTTTCTGCCGTCTAACAGAATATATTGCGAACTAATGCGCCACACGGCAGCTTAGCTACCTGAATTTAAAATTGGTAGAGAATATACTTAGTAGAGAATATACTGTGGGGCAATATCTAAACCAACATTTCAATAGCCTTTTAATAACTAAGTAATCCAAAACAATTAAACCATTTAATAGTATTTATTATGATAAATATTTTCAACCTTTTTTAGCTATTGCAACGTTCAACATATTCATTTTTAAGCATTTTTTATTTGCTGTTTCATTAACTGACTGAATAATTACATATTTCAGGAATTAATATATATTAATACTAACAGATTTTATGAATTACAAAAATATTTTCTTTTTAAGACTTATTGGATTTACAAGAATTTCTAAATTATGTGATTTAATTTATTGCTTAATTATTTTTGAAATTTCATTTATTTTGTTTGAACTATTCTTGTATAATATGTGAGTGTTCAGTGTTGCTTACATTCCACAAATCTATAAAGTAAACACTTTTGATTGGTGATCAATTTTGGATTTTTAAAGTACATAGCTAATCAAAATGTATGAGTTTCCGGGCAAATAAATACGAGTATCCATGCACAATACAGATTCCATGCTCATGTTGTTACATTTTCTTCTCCATTCCTGTGTGACTGTGACTTTTCTGAACCAACAAATCTGTCCCAGTGGCCAACGGGATGGGAAATCGGAGAAAAAAGCAGGACAAAGTCTGAAGGCAGGGCAAACAAAAAACCAAACCCGCAGAGGCAACCGACAGACAACCAGTGGGCGCACATTCAATTTAAGATTTCCTGTGCTGCAAATGCAAGGACACCCGAAGGAGAGGCGAAAGGAGCTGGGACGAGGCTGATGGAATGACAAACAGGAGACGCGCTTGGCGGCGAAGGCGAACTATGCAAAGAGCACACGGGATATCCGTTTCCGCCAGAGAAGTGCTCCGCCCACCGCCCACCGCCAACGGCCCACTTTCCCCGCCCCGAAAACAAGGGGTCGCACACAAAGTTGCAATGAAGCGCAGTTTGAGCTAGCTTCCGGTATCAACAACCCAACCACCCCACCAACCACCCCGCCCACTCAGGATGAAGACAACAAGCACAAAGGACACATCAGCTCATTCAAGTTTAGTGGCCACATGCAAAATTCAAATTGACATAAACACCGAGACGAGCGCTTGATTGTGCGGCTTGTGTGACTGTTGCTGGCTATAAAAAGTGTGCACCACTCATCCATCCGCTGGTCGGCATTCCCCATACGCCGTGTGGTACCAGTAGCAGCGGTAATAACACGGCATATGAAAAATACAGTGGAGCTTGTGGTGGTATTTTCTGAAAAGGGGTTTGTCTGGGCGTTTTTAAAAATATTATGTATTCAAAGTAATGTTGCAGATAAAAACACATTATACCAGTATTTTTAATTCCACAAAAACTAACTGATAAATAATAATAAGTCGAAATCTCCCAAGTGGGACATGAAAGTTCCGAAAGCCCGATTTTCGTCAAACTCTGGTCCACAACGACAATAAAACAAAGCTAATTTTAACGGTTTTCATAAATTTTAAACAATATTTAATTTTAATACTTCGGATTGATAGCAGACAACTTTATAATTTTTCACCATACACTATTACAAAAAAAATGGTTTTCAATAAAAACAATTTATATATACAGAGTTCAAAACCATTTGTAATGAGTAAAAAAGTAAGATTGATTTAATACGAATAAGTGGGGCCCGTCAAAAGATTTTTCGCAAAACGAAAAACACATGATAAATGGTTTTAATTTATTAAATTTCAAGATTTCTGTATGTTTGTTTACTTCTAAAATATATATGATTCTTAAAAATCTAAGGCTACGCTCTTTTTGGGGGCTATATAAGTAGAAAAGATCAACGTGATTATGAAACTTTTCCAAAGGAATTGAAAAAGTAGATAATTTGGTTTACTAACTGTCTGATTTATAGAAGCATGACTGTAAGTGCGAGGATGAAGAAGGCAAGGGCACATGCCACACGACTCTCATTCCGCGAGTCGAAGAAAACGAGTGTGTGACGCAGACCGCGAGGTGACTGAAGTTTGTTATTTCGATTTTCCACCCAGCCGATCGGGATTCGGGGGGTTCGGTGTGTATTATTTCTACTCACAGATCCTCGGGGTTCCACCCGGCAGCTCCTCCTCCACTTTTTGCAACAGCGCCCTGCAATTGTCGCCACTTATATTGTTGGGTTATTTTTAGAGCCCAGTACCGAGGACTAGCAATTATCTGTGCAGTTATTTATCTTTCCGTGTGCCAGCTACTTGTGGATTCTTCTTGGCGGTTCGCTCAGCTTCGGTTTAATAAATCGCTCAGGTATTACTCATTCGCTGTTAATTTAAATTTCGTTGATTCGATTATTGTTTATTGTTAGGATTGGGTTAGAGCCCCCTCTTCCTTAGCTTTTCGCGTTTTTTGTGTTTTATTTTGGGGGTAGAGGTTAATTTGTTCTATTCTATTCTATTTTGTTTTTCTCGCGCGCGCGTTCGCGTTCGTTTCGTTTGAGTTGTTGGTTCGTTTCACACTGAGCAAGGGAAATCATTGAAATTTCTGCTCAGGCGAGAAATGAAAATGCTTTTCTTTTCGGCAGAGGAACCAGAGGAAAAGCCAGACAATCGCCGCTCTCGGCTGCATTTTGGGGCGGGAATTCTTTTTTTTTACCTCTTACCGAGAGGTGGTCAGCGGTGAAGAGCTTTTCTCCCCACCTCATCGAAGATCCCACGGCGAGGGGTCGCCCATCGAAGTTGCCAGACTGCCGATGTGGCGTATGCGTAATGCGGGTTTTCCACTCTGGAGCGTCAAGTGTTTTTTTTTTTGGTTCGCCCAGGGGTTTATTGTTTAGCCAGCCTTAATTGCCGACGAGTCTCTGGGGTAACTGGGCGGCGGGCAAATTAAATTACAGCTTGTGTGCGCCCAACTACAAGATGATCCCTGGTTAAGTTTCCACTTTATCGGATTACGCGATTTACGAGTTGGAACGTCCCGGCAAAAACTTGACTCCTGCCGATTCTTGGTAAAAGTTTTTGTGCAGCTTACGCGGAAATCGCACAATTACAGATGCCAGCGAGCAGTTTAAAAAGTTTGATACATAATATAACCCCCAGCCACCGAAAATCGCTAGTTCGTCATGTTTAACCTTCAGTGGCAGCGCATTGGACCTTGAATTATAAATTAATTAGAGTCGGAAGCGGGCAGTGAAAGGCAGCCATGGACACGGATACGGATGTGGGTGGTTAAGGGGTGACTGGGACCACCGAAAGCCCCGTTCAAGGACTCGCACACATTCACCCCCAGCCGCGTATCTGTGTGTTTATGTGGCATCTACAGGTAGCCGCAGCAACGACACCCACAATTTCTCGAGAGCCTGGCCCGCTTTTGTTTCGATTTTCTAACGAAATCGAAACTCTACACTCGGCCAGAGAAAACAATGGGGAGCGAACGAGAGAGAGAGAGAGATAGGCAGGGGGAGAGAGATGGCAAATGGGGGGTTTTCTACCAAAGAAAGAGACAGAGTCACATACTGCGCTTTGGGAAATGCATTCCACATCCCAGTGAGAAGGAGACTGCATCCTTGATGCCGCTGCAAATTGCCCATCAAAGTGCTCGAGTCGAAACTTTCCGCTGACTCAACTCCGTCGTTCATCGCACTTTTCAAAACTTTCCAGCTCTCGTTTTGGGTAAATAATTCATGTCGAATATATTTTTAAGCGCACACAAGCACACACACACACACACAGAGGTTTGCCACCAATACCGAGGCAGTCGCGTAACCAAAACAATCCTGACACTCGAAGGCCGAAGGACCGCTTTTCCGGGAGCCCGTTGCGACCAAGGACGAGCACTCGCCTCGACTGTCCTGTGGCAACTGAGCTCCATTGCACTTGGAAGCTCTCTCGTGGCCCGAGGACCCCCCTCCCCCACAGCTAACCCACCACCCCCTTGCCCCTTTTCCATTTCCCATTTCCCACCCGGTGACCAAGTTTTCCTCGGCTCGCGTTCGGCTCTCGAACCGATTGCTCGGCTGTGGCATGTAGGCCACAACAGAAACGAGCCTCCTTTTTATTGAATTTTTGAGCACACATCCTGCCAGCGGAGAAAAGCTTTTCCAGGCGCACGGAAAGGGGTGAAAAGCTGGGGCTGGCAGGTCCGTATGGTAGCGGTAAATTGCAGGCAACAAAGTTGTAAACAAATCATTAAAGTGCTGGAAATAACTGGGGTGGCGGTCGGCTATCAGGCGGAAAACATGCCCTGCCAGCGAACTGGCAGACAGGTCCTGCAGAGTGGGATCCTTTGAGCTTCGAAGAGCTTTTGCCAATCTGAATTGTATTAACGATGGTTTGAATAATCCTATTTTAGATAACCGTTACAGACAAAGGACATTTTTTTATCAAAAGACGAAATGTTAGGTCACTTTTTGAAGGAAAAACGCTTTTCATTTAAAACCTGCTTTCAAAGTAGCCGAAAACCGCTCTTGCTTAATAACAGTTTGATACAAAATGAAACAGTTTTTTAAAAAGTCTATTAATGCTTTAAAAAGTTGGATTAAAAGGACATTAAAGTTCGAATAATGCTGTTTTGGGCATATATTCTTGAATCGGGCAACTCTTTGTCTTTTGAACACCAAACATAAAATATTATTTTGATTATTTTTAACGCTCTTCTGCTTCAGAGGTTAGTTGTTCTAATGTATCTTATCCAATTCGTTAAATTCATCATTGTAATCATACTAAAAACCTATAAAAGGAAAACAACGTTACAAAATCTACACCGGAAGTAGCGTGCGCCATCTAGCGTTCAGCCAACGAAACATTTTCAAATGTGCGTTTTCGCCATTTGGCCAAAGCTCGCCTAATAAATTTAAAAAGGTAAACAAATTCTGTTGGAAAGCTTGTTGGAAATACGAACTGAAAAACAAATATAACGTCGGCAGCAAATTCCTTGAGCTTTTTGTGCAACAACAAAATGATTTTTGTTTGCTCGCCTTGTCGTTGGTTTCGAGAGCGGCAGCTGTTGCGAGAGCGGTGGGGTGCATGTGTATGTGAGGCTGAGTAAGCAACTGTTGTTGTTTCAATGTTTCCTGAGAGTTAGAGCGAAAAAGAAGAAGAAGCAGTCGCACACTGGAACGAAGATCGTTGCTAAATTGCAGGTAAATTTCCAGGTAAAACGGTTTTGGGTTTATTGACGGTTTGTTTTTTTTTCAGTCAGGGATTACAGTTTGGAAAAATAGAATTAAAAGATGCGGAAAAAGAGTGGAATTACCAGGTGCAACGGCCACTTGTTCATGAAAATATCTATAAAGACATTTGTTTAAGATTTTTAGAATTAATATTAAAAAAACAATAAATAATAAGAATGCTGAAATTATGTATGAATATATTTAAAATGTAAAAATAACGTGTCTAAAATATTTTTTAAAATATTACATCATTCTTTGCTCTCAGAATAAATATTTTAATACATTTTAAATCAGAGCCATATTTTTAAAATTCGATTTTAAAGAAAACTCTTTGCTGCGTTCAATTCAGTCTGGCAGGTACCCTTGAGTAATCCTTAGTGCGATCCTTTCGGGGTGACTTTTCGTCGACAAGCAACATTCGGTTCACGGTGCAACAATTTTTGTTGGTCTGTGCCGTTTCCCTCCCCCTCCCCTCAGACCACCCCCTTTGCATCTGTATCTTTGCATTTCGTACCGCGCAGTTGCCGTTTCTCTGACTCAAAAACACTCGGCGTGTGTGTGTGCATTGTTTGTCTTATTTGTTGTTCGTTGGCAGCAACAACAATAAAAAGTTGCCTGCTGCTCAACGCCAGCTGTACATGTGTGTTTGTATTGTTGCATTGGTGTGTGTCCGTGTGGGTATCTGTGTGTTCGGCGGAGAGCGGGGTTTTGTGCGTTGTTCTCTGTTTGCTCGCCGTCCGCTCGTGTCGTGTTGTTGCTTCAGTGTTCTACGTAGCCGATAGATACTGGGTGCACACTTAAAAAAACATCAAGAAGATCAGGCGCAGATTTATTCACGCAAGAATCATTTATAAAAAATTAAAAAAAATTTTTTATTTTAAAAAATTAAAAAAATTTTTTTTTATTACTTTTTTTATCAAATAAATATTTGACCCTTACTCAAAAAAATTGTTCGTTAAATTTGAAAGAGATATCTACATTTTCAAAAAAATTACTCTATAGTAGTTCATTTGAATTATTTTGAAACAATTCTCTTTATAATTTGACCATTTTTTCTAGCTCATGTTCGACAATAATCGATATATTTCGAATTTTTGTGGTCCGTTATTGGATTTTAGAGGTTATTTATTTATTTTTGTTATTATTATTTAAGAGCGAATATTTATTTTGGGTGTAGATAAGGTTTTGCTCTCTAGTATGTCTGAATTGTTACCGAATAATAAAGAAATTATAATATTTATTAAAGAAATTATTTAGATTTATGATCATTTATACTCCAATTTTAATTTTAATATTTTTTACCTGCTACCTGGACCAAAGTAATATATAATTTCTTGAAATTAACTTACCAACCAAGCATGTTTTTCTCTCTGTGCACCGCTCGCTCTCGTATCTGCTGGCTGGCAGTCGCATTTGTGCCTGTGTCTGTGCCCGTCGCTCTGTGTGCTTAGTCGCCTTCGTCGCTTGGAACGCGAAACATACGACATTGCCAACAATCCAACAGTCCGCCGCCAATTCCCGAGCACCGTGCACCGCCGACCACGAGTTTTTGAATTCAACATTTTTGAACGTTACGTCAGTCGGTCCGTTGCAGCAGCAACAAAAATATTTTTGGCGCCGTTTTATTTGTGCGCCGAGTGTGTTGCGTTTTGAAATCGCTGCTAGCCAGGAGCTGGTATTTCTAAATCGCCTTCGAGCCAGGAGTTTTCGAGATCAACAGCCCTGTCAGAAACGACAAAAACAAAATACGAAAAGGTAAAGAAATCTTCTACGCACAACATCGCAAGTTAGAACAACAGCAACAGCAACAAATAATACCCCGATAAGCAGTAGCAAGAAAAATTCTATATGCCATATTGTTTCCTTGTATGCGATTGTCTGTGTATCAGTGTGTCTATTGTTGTTGCTGTTGTTGTTGCTCTATCTAACAAAGTTATTGCTTTTGTTGCTGTTGTTGTTGTCATTGGGCCACGGAGCAATATACAATATATGTATATTTGTTGGAGGGGGAAACAAAGAGCGCGCCGGGGATTTCTGCAAGTTTTCTGTGTGTTTTGTTAGCTTTAGAAATATATTTCTTTTTTTTTTCATTTTTTTTTTGCTGTTGTTTTTGGTTGGGTTTTTGTGTTTTGCTGTTTTTGTGTGTTTCGATTTTGTACGTTGCTCGGGCGGTAGCTGTACTTTTTTTTTGTGCCCCGTTGCTAATATATAAACATGAACATTTCTTCAAGAATAAGTACAAACACACATCGAAAGGCTCATGCTGAAATGTTTATGTTAAATAGACGTAATACAATAAATATTGCCACAGCCAGGTTAGTTGTTTTTCTGCTCGGCTTGCTCGGTTTCAGCGCCTTCCCATTTCCCCGCCCACATTGTACATAACAATCCAACAATAACATTAACAAAAACAACAACGGGTAGAACCAAAACACGCGAACAACGTTCGCCTTGATAATGATGTTCGTTGATAATAATGATGACTGGCCAAACAACACAACAATGCTGTGAGCGAACAGTGGGACGAAAATGTCTTAAAATGGCTCATAAATATTAATTTTCATAGTTTTTTTATACAGGCATTAAAAAATGTGCTTTGTGTAACTGCAATAAAAATATGTTACTGATTAGCCTAAGCTATAAAAGATTAAAACCTCACTACTTCCCATCTTCCTCAATGCATCTTATACGTTAATCTACTATGCATAATCAATAATCTGAGATGTTTCGAACTGACGTCATGGAGTATGTCAGGACTTTTAAACCTAATTTCTTAAAATATTCTTTTTGAAATGTGGGGTTTTTTTTAATCTTCGTTATTTTTATGAAAAAAAAATTATTCCGAAAAAAAAGTTTTTACATCACCACCCAATTATATGTTAAATAACATTTTAAAACATTTTCCAAGTGATTAAGGACCTATTTTTTTTTTACTTATCATTGGTTTGACTTAAAAAACATGTGCTGTTTAAAATAGAACCTCCTTCTTCGCTTAGTTCCATCCCACTGTGCGCACGTTTTTTTGCTGTGCAAAAGAACTGGTGGGCCTAGCAAGGTGCTGAAAGTGGCGGGAAAACTGTTAGAGATTTAAGAGCGGCCCAAGAGTGTCGCCGCGATGTGAGGGGTGGCTGAGGGGGAGGGGGTGGTGGCAGAGTGAGTGGACAGGTGAGTGGGCTGATTAGAATCGAAACAGGTAGTCGCAGGTGCGAGAGCGAATCGTTTCGCGAATGAGTGAGTGAGCGAGTGAGTGCAGTGGGTACTCGCGCACACACATTCGTGACTATTCAATGCATTTGGCCAACATGTTTTCGGATATTGCAACACAACATTGCAATGTGTTGCTGCTGCAATGTGTTGCCGTTGCCGTTGTCGCTGCTGTTGTTTCGCCTGTTGTTGCTGTTATCAGTGAGCCAGGCCAGAGCTTTCAGCTTTCGGCGACAACAAAAACAAAAACATGAAGCACAAACAGCCAAATTGCCTGTTATTTTTATGGCCGCTGCCATTGTTGCTGCTGTGGCTATAATAATATGAAAAGTAAACAAAGTTGCTGTCGTCGTTCCGCCGTTGTCAACAACATGGCAATGTCGCACGTTTTCTCGCCGCTTTCCAGCTCGCAAAACTGTACTGAAAATGATGGCAACTACAACTACAAAGGCTACAAATACAACAAAGTCGGCCGCAATGTTTTATTAAGTTTCACGAAATATATATGAGCGAAAAGCTCTATTCGTCGTTTGCTGAGACAGCAGCAACAGCAACAGAAACAGATCAGAACAGCGCCGAAACCAACACAAACAAATAACACGACAAAACGAAAAGAAACCGAACACAAAACCCCAGAACAAAAAGCTAAAAAAAAAACAGAAAACAGAAAAGAGTCGAAGAGAATGCTCTTTGTTTGCCAGCTCGTAAATAAATAGGAATATGGATAGGAAAGTCTAAAAATCAAATATTGGAGTGGCTATAGCCAACAAAATCCCAAGTTTCTATTTCTCAGCCAAATATAAATGTTACTCTTCTGAAAGTCTCGAAATTGAAGGGTTATCTTAATTACATATTTATACCCGTTACTCGTAGAGTAAAAGGGTATACTAGATTCGTGCAAAAGTATGTAACAGCTAGAAGGAAGCGTTTCCGACCCCATAAAGTATATATATTCTTGATCAGGGTCACTAGCCGAGTCGATCTAGCCATGTCCGTCTGTCCGTCTGTCCGTCTGTCCGTCTGTCCGTCTGTCCGTCTGTATGAACGCTGAGATCTCAGAAACTACAAAAGCTAGAAGGTTGAGATTTCCCACACATATTCTTTGGCTTCCTACGCAGCGCAAGTTTATTTTAGCCGAGCGCCACGCCCCCTCTAACGCCCACAATCGCCCACTAACGATTTTAAAATGGGCCCACATCTTTAAAGATTTCCGAGAAGTATAAATGCAATTTTGTTGTGTATATTTATACCTATCGAAATGTAGAAGACATTTTTCAAATCGGACCATTCATTAAAAAGTTATACGCAATCAAAAATTATATATCTATCTCCCTCGCACTCCCTTTAGCTGAGTAACGATTATTAGTCGGGACACCAACCCGACACAGCGTTCGCACTCCCTTTAGCTGAGTGACGGGTATTAGATAGTCGGGACAACAACCCGACTATAGCGTTCTCTCTTGTTTTAAAATCTATTTATTACAGACTGCGTGAGGGACGAAACCACCATCGAATATGACAACCTCAACGCGGAGCTCTAGCAACACGAACAGCAACAATAACCACAACAACGACCGCGAGGAGCGAACCACCGCCAGCAACACCACCTACAGCCAGCACAGTCCAACAGGATCGGGATCCGGAACCGCAGGAGCCACCATTGGATCCACGAACCGAGTGATGCAGGCGGACGAGGACTTCAACATCCGCTTTGTCAACCTGGTGCGCACCCACAAATGTCTCTACGACAAGAAGGTGCCGGAATACCGCAACAGGTGAGAGAGAAATCTCAGAGATTGTGGTAGTTACCATCTCATTATTATTCCTTAGTTGATAAAACATTAAAAATAAAACGAGAAATGCGCAATAAATTTAGGAATTTCCAAGGAATCACACCTACAATAGTTACTCGAGAAATACTAGAACATTAAAAAACGAGAAATGTGTGATGTTTAATGATAATCAATTGAGGAATTTCCAAAGAATCACACCCCTCAAGCTTAAAGTCTAAGTAGATCTAGTGATTGTGACACTAATCTGTTACAGAAATAGACATTACAGATTACAATTACAATTACTATAGATTAAAATAAAGCTTTTCGATTTATAATGAATTTCGAAATGTACTTGCACACAAACAAAAGCATGTTCCCGTAAAATCGATATGATCATGCAAAACCCATATCGTTTTTACATGAAATACTTTTTTTGACCAGGTTAAATTTACCTGGCCGCATATAAAATTAAAATTTATCTAAAATAAAGTAAAATCGATCTACGTTTCATATCGATTTTTTTTGGGTGTGAAGTTATAAAATAAACGTTTTACTAAACTAATTAAAACTCTGTATTTACAGGGACAACCAGGAGAAGGCTTGGGTTCTTATATCGAAGGAGACGCGTGAAAGTGGTAAGCTGAAATCGGGCTTAAAAAAACATATTTATTGAAGGAACTATCTCCTCCCGCTTTAGTAATCCACTGCAAGGAGCGATGGCGGAACCTACGCGCCTGCCTGTCCCGCTACATAAAGCAGCAATCCGGATCGGAGCCGCAGCACAAGCCGTACTACCTGACCGAGCACATGGCCTTCCTGCTGCCCTTCCTCAAGTCCAGTCGAAATTCCCTGGAGGGCAACAATAGTTTGGCTACGCTGTACCAAATGTCGCAGCAACACCTGCAGCACCACCAGCCATATCTCCTCCACCCAGCCATCCATGCGCATGAGGAGCACAAATACTGCGCCAGCAGCAACATCAATAATAATAATAATAACAACAATATCAGCAATAACGGCGAGGAGGTCCTTGAGCTCAAGTACTCGATATCGGAGAAGGACGACGAGGAGACCATCGATGCCTTCGATCCGGCAGTGACCAACACCCTGGGTCTGAAGCGTCCTCCGTCCACGCCCACCCACAGTTCCGCCCTTCAGAGGGGCGGCGGAGGAGGAGGTGATTCGCCCGCCAGGAGCGAAACGGCCAGTGCGGATAGCATGAAGAACTTCATTCCGGATGTGCAGCTGGCCGAGACTGGTTCGCAACTGATGTACAATGATGGCGGACATGGAACACCACCGCCCCTGCACTACCACCCGCACTCGCACTCGCATCCACATCCTCTGACCCTGGCGATGGATCATCATCCTTCCTTCGAACCGGGCAGCACCAAAAGAATCAAGACGGAATGCGAGGCCACCAGCACGTTGACAAATTCGGGTGGTTTCTATGGCGGACTGAGTTCATCGGAACTGGCGGACATGGAGTTCTTTCGCAGCATCCTGCCAGATCTGGCGGCTCTTACTCCCCAGCAGCGTCGCAAGTTCAAGATTGGCATCCTGGAACTGATCGACGACGTGGTAACTCGTTATCCCGCCCCGGAGCACTGCAACGGCGGAGGAGGAGGAGTGGTCAATGGCAGTGGAGGAAGCAGCAATGGGGGATCGGTGAAGCATCAAAGGCGCAGCTCTGGACGCGATTGGCGAAAGCAATGAAGGCGAGGTTGGAGGAACGGAAAGTCACTAATCCTTAACTAGAAATACGATAAGTTAAGATAGAAACTTAATGTGGAACTGCAGTTGGAGTGGCTACTAATCGGTGTCCAAGTCAACTTCAGTCTGCTCACTGTTCATGTGTTGTGTGCGCTCAATCTGTTGAGTAAGTAAATGGGATAGACTAATTTTTCGTTCAAGATGTTTGTTTCATTTCAATATAGACAGAATTTTTCAAGAATTCTCCAAAAAACGGCTCTGCCTAAATTGAAATCAAACACATTTCAATGAAACCGAATTCATAAGGTCTCCTGATAAGCCATTAAGCTCTATATGAAGCAGTGTCGGCAGCTTCTTATAGAGCTAAAATATCTAGGTTTAAGAACTCTGTAAATATGCTGCTGCTAAAGCTTAAACTATAAAATCGATGTACAAAGCTACTCCCATTTAAGTCAAACAAAGAGAGGTAAAGGTTGGAAATCAAACTGCTGTGTGAAATAATAAACAAGTGAGAGTATGGAAAATTACATGGTAAACTTTAATTTAAATCTCGACAACTTCAACAGAGGGTGTTCTTCGCAGGGCCTTGCCCCACTTTCAATTGAGCGGATGCTCTCCTTTCTGAGAGAAATGCACAAGGACACACCTTGTCCCTGTCTTCGCACTAAAAGCTAAATTTCGTTGGCGGCTACATCGGAGGCTGCGGATCGGATTGGATCGGATCTACAGCTTCGAGGAGCCAGTCTTGGGGTAGAACTTCTTCGCCGGGTCCTTGGCCATGTCGAGCAGAGTCTGGGCGGGCTTGAAGGGAGCTCCGTACAGCTCGGCATAGGACTGCATCTTGCTGACCAGCTTGCCAGCTCCGTACTGGTCGACCCAACGGAAGGGACCGCCGGAGAATGGCGGGAAGCCCAGTCCGAAAACGGCGCCCACATCGCCCTCCAGCGGACTGTCCAGGATCTTCTCCTCCAGACACAGCACAGCCTCGTTGATGAAACGCGACACCATTCGCAGCGTCAGATCCTCGGGCGTATTGGCTCCCTTCGAAACGAGACCGTACTTCTGCTTCACGATCTCCACGGCGTCGTTGTTCACCGGACGAGTGCCCCTCTTCTGGCCATCGTACAGGAAGATGCCCTTTCCGGATTTGCGTCCCAGGAAACCGGCCAGCACCAGATCGTTCATCACTTCCAAATTGCCACCGCTGAAGCGTTCGCCGAATGCCTTGGCCAGGTCCACGGCAATGTGGGAACCCACATCGATGCCAACCTCATCGGCAAGCGTGGCGGCGCCCACGGGGAAACCGAACTTCTTTGTGTACTGGTCCAGATCCTTGGGGTCCACGCCCTCCTGCAGCAGTCTAAAAGGAATGAGAATTTATTTTAAAGCAATTGCGAAAATAGTTATTATAAGGGGGAAGTTACATATAGAAAAAATAAAAATTCAATTTTTATTTTAAATTAAATTGGTAGAATAACTTTTTAAAAATGTGTCATGAGAGTTTCACGAAGAAATTCGATCTATTTTGGAACTTATACTTATTTCATTACTTTAAATAAAATAAAAATTTAAATAAAATCATCAGAAAAGTTTGCAATAAAATTGCCCACTGTCTGCCAAAAACAACAAAAAAATTATGAAAAAAATAGATTTTTGACTTTGAAATAGTGCCACAACCACAGTTTTTGAGATATTCTATGTAAGTTACATTATTAGTTCTACATTATTTCTTAACAAAATAAACTTGGTTTCATAAAAATCGGATCCACACAGCGACCTGTGAACGATCCGCAGCTGGCCTACTTTTTTTTTTAAATAGCCTGACAAAAAAAATCCCACGTCTGCCATTTTGAAGGATAAAAACAAAATAAAAATTGGTTAAAGTTATATAAGAACAATGTAAATCCCTTAGGAATTCCTAATTGGTTAAAAAAAATCACGAAAAACTGGAAAAAATTACAGTTTTATATGTATCTCCCCCCTTAAACTGAACCAACCTTATAGCCTCCGACAGCAAAGTGGAGAGGATGCGGGTGGTATAGAATCCAGGTCCATCGCCCACAGTGATGACGACCTTGCCCTGCTTGAGACCGACGGCCACAGCCTGAGCCACGGTGTCCTTGGAGGTGCCTGGATGCGTGATGATCTCCAGCAGCTGCATCTTGTCCACGGGCGAGAAGTAGTGCATGCCGACCACCTTCTCGGGTCGCGAGCTACCCGCTGCGATCTTGGTGATGGGAATGGCGCTGGTGTTGGTGGCAATGACGCAGTGCTCGGGCACAACGGCCTCCAGCTCCTTGATGACGCGGTGCTTCACCTTGATGTCCTCGAACACAGCTTCGATGATGATGTCGGCGTTCTTGAAGTCGCTGTAATCGAGAGTGGGACGCAAATTGGCTAGGGTTTGATCACGCTCCAGTCCAGAGATGCGCTTTCGCTTCACAGCCGTTTCCAGACCCTTCTGAACCTGCCCAATGCCACGACCCAGGCCCGCATCGGTGGCATCCTTCATCACCACCTGGTAGCCCTTGTCGACGGAGACCTGAACAATGCCGGCGCCCATCAGACCAGCTCCCAAAACACCCACGGTCTTGACCGGACGCTCTGGCTTGCCAAATCGGTTCTTCTTGCACTCCGTTTGGCCACGGAAGAGGGCAATCAGGCCCTTGGACTCGGGCGTGGCCGACAGCTCGCCAAAGCCCTTGCGTTCCGCCTCGTAACCAGCATCGATTCCCTTGTCCACGCCAGCGCGGATCACATCGAGGATCTATTTGGACATAGAAGTTATAGGTATGGTAAAGGAATGGTTTGTCCAATAACTAACCTTCAGGGGAGCGGGATAGAGGCCATTGGAGGCCCTCAGCACCTGCTTCCTGGCAGTGTCGAAGATCTTGTTCTTCACAAAGTCGGTGTCCATCACAAAGGACTGGATCTTGTTGACCAGACCGCTTTTTTCGCGATTTACCTGGGGGTAAAATAAATAAAATATAAATATGAATATATCGAGTTCGGTACAAACAAATGAGAGTACACAGAAAAAAACCGTTATGAAATAGGGTTATTTCTACCTTATTTCAATCAAATTTAAGATTCAAACATATCAACATGATATTTTATCATATCATAAAAATACCATATTTAGTATTTTTGGAGCAAATAATATAAAAAAAGATGAACATAATCTTTATTCACATCAAAATGATATGAATAACTTGATCTTTAAAAAATATCAAATTGACCATTACCATTTTTTTTTCTGTGTACATAATACAACTGAATCTTTGAAATTCGAAGATGCAATGTGTAAATATTTCATGATAAATAAGCTTACACGAAGTTTGCCGCTGGCTAGATCGCTGGCCACCTGCACGGCGGTCTTCTCCAGGTACTCGATGGTGTTCTGCTCGGCAGGCTGGAGTCCGGGGCCCAGGGGTTCGACCAGCAGATCCACGATGCCCAGTCGCTTGGCGCGATCGGCGCGCACCTGCTTGCCGGTGAGCTCCAGATCCAGAGCCGTGGGCACGGAGGTGAGCTTGGGCAGGCGCACAGTGCCGCCGCCGCCGGGCAGGAGGCCCAGCATGACCTCGGGCAGACCCAGCTTGGTTTTGCTGTCCTTGGTGGCGATGCGGTAGTGGCAGGCCAGGGCCAGTTCCAGTCCGCCGCCCAGACAGACGCCACTGATGGCGGCCACAATGGGCTTCTTGCTGCGCTCCATGCGGTCGAACATCAGCTGGGCGCCGTGCGAGATCAGGGTGGCCTCCTCGGCCGTCTGGCAGGCCTCCAGCATCCCGATATCGGCGCCGGCCACGAAGCAGCCCGGTTTGCCCGAGATCAGGACGGCCGAACTGACCGACGGGTTCGTCTCCAGGTCCTTGATGACGCGCTCGAACTCGTCGCTCACCTCGGCGCCCAGGGAATTGACCTTGGCATTGGGCGAGTCGATCTTGATCACCAGCACCCCGTTGACCACCTTGGTGTGGAGGTGCTTGTTGGCACTGGCCACCACCGGGGCGGGATTCGTGGACATCAGGCGGCGGCTCTGGAGGAGGTGGGCCGAAATGGGCAGGGCTGCGTGGGGTTAAGAGATCGGTTAGTATTATCTCACGGACACTACTCGAAATCGGAAATCAGAAATCGGAAAACAGAAAGCGAGAGACAGAAGCTCTGCGTCAAGAGAGAGAGTAAGAGTACAAAGTGCAAAGTCCAGTTATGCGGCATCGGGGGAGGCTCATCAAAAAAAAACTAGAGAGTGAGATACCGCTAGTAGTGCCCTCTTCCATGGGGCCAAATTCCACTCCGGCATTATTATTAGCCGCAATCTCTACTTTCCCTTTCCTTTTCACTGAAGAACCACCAATTTACCCACCTCTCGTGCACTTATTCTGCAGCAATTGCTGTCGCGAAATTTGGCCAACGGCACTCAGAAATCTCGTCGCCGACATCTCAGTTCGATTCTTCGGGGTTTTTCACTTTTCGCTTACTAATATAGATGTCTAATGTTTAACGAATCGAACTTTGGTCTTGCACCGTTAGTTATGTGTTCGCGATTCGCTATAAAAAACGATGCGGCAATTCGACTTGTTGCACATTAACGATGAAAACATCGATGTATCGATGTTTTACCATTTTTTAGAAACATCGATGTTTCTTGGCGGCAATCGATGTTTTAGTCATATCAACAATTTTAAAGAAACGGTGGATTAATATATATCATAACACTATCCTATATTATAATTTCTTTCTGTTTTATTAAATTTATTTTATATCATTTATATCTCAATTTTGTTAAAAGTATTACCGTTGAATTTAAAAAAATTCCAGGGCTGCAAAATATCAGAAAACGTCCACTGGTGTCGCTTGAAGCAGACTTTTAAAAACTAGATGGCGCTAGTGTATCACTGTGGACGGCAATCCACGTAGTGACGAACCTCGCCAGGAAAGTAGATCTGTTAATCCTTAAAATACACTCCTGAGGATTTTAACCATTTTTTTTAAAAGATATTTATTTAAAAAATCACATCACAATCATTACTCATCAGTAATAAACTTTATTCCCCTTACCTGAAACTTGTAATTGAATTTTTAATAGAAGAAAACGATATAATGGAATTAAACATAGATTAAATTTTTTAATATCGAAGCCGACTTATACGATTTTTTTCACTGACATTGTTTTCGTGAATTTGTCACGCTGACCCACCCCGCCTTACCTTGGACCATTAACAGGCCTCACAATTTGCGGGACACGCATGTCACTCGCATTTTTCAGGTCGCTTCCTCGTATCCAGGACTCATTGAAGCCGCATTAAGCGCGCCTCATTTGCTTCGATACTATTGTCCTTTCAAGTGGCCACTCCTAAATAGGTTCGGATGAGATTTCGCCACATTGCCATGCGCTTTATTGTGGCAACACGCCTTTGTGGCCTTTGACGCAGGCGTTTTATGTGGCATGTACTATAAAATAAATAGTTAATCGTTTTTCGCCGAATCTGCAGCTGCGGTTTTGATTTCTAGGCCGATCCGCCTCTGATGTGCGAGGAGTCAAAAAAGTCACACTCGAGTTTGTCGGTTAATGTCAACTGCAAAAGTCTGTCAGTCAAATGCTGGTAGACGGCTGAGTGAGTGACTGTCTGACCTGACCTTTCCAAACAGCGGGCTTATCAAAAGCGGAAGAATAGCCAGAGGAATACTTTTCACGAAATTCATACATGGACATAGCAGTTCGATTGAAACCTATATATGAAATCCTATTTAATAACATTTATGAAGTTTCAGAAATTCTTTCTTAAACTTTTTTGTTTAAACTTTAAAACTAAGATAATTATGGTTTTAGACTTATTTTATATATTTTCCCATAATTTCATAATAAACATAATCATCCCACCAAAATTTCGTTATAAAACCATCTTTTATAAGAAATCGAATCCTAAATTGAGACCTCTATTGCCTTCATTAGTGTGCGAAAATCTGCATTAACAAATTGGCACCGAACCGTATTTGCATTTGAAATTAGTTTCTGGAATTGCAAATGTGAATTTGCGAAACCTCAGCCAAAGGATTCGCACATTAATTCACGCGAATATTGAATTACACCGGCAACAATGGGATCAGCATCAGTAAATTTGCATAATACCTTTGTGATCTCGGCTTCCTCCCCTCACAGCACCCAAGGATAACAGAAAAAGAGCAGCAGAGTCAGCGACTCCAAAGAGTTCTCATTTGCATGCGAGGGTTCGGGTTAGGGGCTAATCAAACAGCAAGGACAAATATTGTCGCAGGACGAACGGAGGCTGGCTCGACAGGAAGCACACGCTCTGTTGTGATTTATGGCTGGATATTAACATAAATGAAATCAAAACATTTTAAATGTTTTCATTTAGGCAAGGGTTCGAATTATATATGCAAATATCGTTTGAAACAAAGTCATTCCTCATTTTAGCTTTCGGCTCTCCGAGTGTGCGAATATCCTTGAAGGTCGCACGCGTCAGCGGCACACTTCCCATCCGACATGACAACTAATGGGCGTTTTGTTTATGGTCGCTCGCAAACCCCCATTAGGGTCGAGTACTCCTTGCCGAAATCCTCTCGCAACCCCTTCCCTGCAGCGACCTTTTTTTATATTTTTAATTATTTATAATCGGTTTAAAAAAAATGCAGAAACAATATCCAAATGTTTGAGTGGCCTCTGACAGGAGGTAAGCCCTTTAATCGACCCTTGATTTGATTGCCGGTGGAAAATTGAATTTTAAATTTAATTTTAAATACCCTTCGGTAGAGACTTAAAAACCAAAACGGGCACAATGACAAATATTTCTTATCTTTTACGATAAAACTTTTAAGGCTACATATTTCCTGGTAAATCATAGTACTCACCTGAATTATGCAAACTGTGAAATGTAAACTCAAAACTAAAATTTCTAGAAAATTTGATTATTTATTAACTTCCTTTTAGAACAACATTTTGGGAAACACATTAGAAAATTTTTTTAAAAATCTTACAAAGTACAAACGATGTTATCTTTGTAGATTTAATGGTCCTAGATAGATTTGGTAATTTCTTTTGGTTGGTTTTCATACTCTTAGATATTTTCGCAATTTTCATTATTGACATCTCGATCTTCTTGGTGCTCACTTTGATCATAGGCATTTTCAAAGTGGTTCTGAACTTCCTGTCGTTGATTCTCACCATGTTCATGCTGAACCTCCGGACGTCGATTTTCATTATTGTTATCTTCAACCTGTTGAAGACTATCATCATCGGCACTTTCATTGGAATCCTGATCTACAGGACCTAGATCTCCATTGCTTTCCCGATCTTCCTGACGCGGATTTTGATCATTGGCAACTTGAGCATTGGCATTTTCAGCAGAGTCAGTAACTTCCTCATTTGATCTCAAAATGAAATGAACTATATTAAGTTTATTACCTCATTTCACTTTTGAAAATTGTAAATAGTGGAACTTACTGCTTCCATTTTCCGATGCACTTTGTAGTGACAGCGAACTCGGCGATCTGCACCATGTGAGAAGTAAAGCCAGAGCCGAGATCACATCGTTGGGATCTATAGAAATATTAAAATCCAGAACTCCACTAAATAGATTGCTTTCCAATTGCTGCAGTTCCGCCGCTAAATGGGATCTACGGGCTCGAGCCTGAGCAGTCGTTTGACGACGACTCCTTCTGCGCGGATTTCCCTGGCCTTGACTAGCAGTAGAATTGTCTCGGCTTCGAGTAGCAGAAGAATTGCTCCGGTTTCGAGAAGCAGAAGAATTTATCCTAGGCCCAAGTACCCCTGTGCGGCGAGTCGATCTTCGCCGAGGTAAAATCTGAAATCTCTGTCGGCTCAAAAAGTTTTGCATAGCTCGACTGTTGATTATGGCAGCCGTTTGACGAGCCTAATCAAGAATTTTAAAGCGTTTTTGGTGGCGTTAATCACATTACCACATACTAGTACTCACCAATGAAGGCATTCGGTTCTGGCTCGCAGCCCGTCTAGGAGGCATTTTAAAAATGTTTGGTTGATCAACAAATTTTTACTAGATTTTTTCACAACAACTGTGGGTGTTTTATTTTCGGAACAACTATAGTTGTTTTTCCCGCCGCTAGAGAAAGTATACTGACTATTACTCCGGCCTCCCTTCCAAAAGTCTGACACGAATCAAAAAAGGTTACTTTGTTTTGGTTTTTTGTTTTTTAAAAAATATTTATTACTACACAAAAATTCATAAATAGGTGGGAAATATGACTTAAGACTCTATGCGCTTACAGTTTAAAGTTACAAGTATTATTCTTATAGCTAAAGTTTTATATCTAAAACTTTGGAATAGCTGGGAAACAAACTAGAAACGTTCAATACAATATTTCATACATAATAATAGGACCAACAAGCAATGGGAACATGAGTGGAAATCAACTAGGGACTAGAACAACGCTTGAGTGGCTCAGTAATAGGAGTTGCGGTGAGAGATCCATTATCCCGATTTCCCCTCATCTAACAGAAGACGGGATTCGTGGTGGTGTTCGGGTGATAGGTCGAGTCCATTTGGATGTTCCACCCGTTCTCCACTCCCGAATTGCTGTAGTAGTAATCAGCGGACTGCAGCTGATCCTGCGGCTCCTGTGGATAACTGGCGAGAGGCAGGAAGCTGGTGGAAGCTTGTTGCTGGTAGGCTGTGGCTTCGTCATAGAGCAGATCCACTGCATTGCTGGTAGCTCCTCCGTTTAGGGTCGATTCGAACACACTGAAGATCTCCGAGCTGGTGGTGTAGAAACTTCCATGCTGGCTGGTATTCTGGCCCTGGCTTCCGTTGCTCACGTCCAGCGCGTTGGGCAAATATCCATTGAAATACCCATAATCCTCGGAGCTGTAACCCGAACTGCTGGTCAAACTGGAGGTGTCATCGCAGCTCTCGTAGAGGGGCATTCCGCAGGGGAAGCTCGAGGCGATCGCAGGCTGATCGTAGTTGTTTGCCGCATGTTGCTGTTGCGGATGCGACTGTTGCTGCTGCTGCTGCTGTTGCAGTTGCTGCGGTAGGTTCTCCTGGTAATAACTGCCCGTGGAGCTGTGCGCGGAGAGGGGCGAGTGGAGCATATCGTAGGCGTACATTCCATTGGCATAGGACGATCCCTCCGGTTCGGAATAGTAGATCTCTCCGTTCCACTGACTGGCCACTGAACCCGTAGATCCCGTATATGATCCCTGCGTTTGACCAAAGTTCGATGTCGTTGTGGGCAGATAGCCGGCTGGTGGTGTTAGTTCCTGGCCGGTTGGGGTCACCTCGGGGTCACCAGCCAACCTCCTGCGCTTGCTCTCCTGCGTTGGCTGACTCTTGGCCTGTCGCTTCGTGGGCCTAAGGCTGCTCAGTTTGTCGCTGAGGGCAGATTCCCTGGCCAACATCACGGCCAGGCTGCGGACACGTCTTCCGCCGGCCAACAGGCGTCTGGCCTCCGTGGATCCCTTGGCCTCGGGCCTCGGGTGATCATGGGTGCCCTTGGCCTGGAAGTAGATGCCATTGCCGTCCCGGCGCCAGAAGTGGGTGACTGGATAGCCGCAGTGGCCGCGGCAGGCCTGGATCTCCAAGCGCCCATTGCAATTTCTGTTTTAAAAATTAAATACAGAGTTAGTTTAAAATATTCTTTTGATCTAATCTGAAGAAGGAAACCCACCTATTGGGACACTGTTTGCCCTGCTGCTTCCTTCTGGCCTTGTCGCAAATGGCTGGCCTCAGATGAACACTGGCTCCGTTGGGCAACTTGCACTTGGCACTGCAGAGCAGCACTCCCAGGCAGCTCTTCTTCAGGATGTTCACATTGTGGTTGTTCGTGTTGCGCATGGCCCAACCGCTGGCATGCTTCCTGGCCTCGTCGCTCTGGATCGAGTAGATGAGCCGGCAGTGTCCGTTGGCCCAGTCGCTGAAGTCGTCGAACTCCCCCACCGACGGCATCTTGGAGTCGTTGATGTCCCAGTCGAGGGCCAATCGGGATTTGGTGGCCGGAGGACTGGGCACGGGCATGGGAACTGGTAGAGGCATATTGATGGGCATGCCGTTCAAGACCATTTTTGATTTATTATGTTAGGTTTGTAGTTGTTTTTTCTCTTTCAATTTTATGCACACGCGGTCACGTTTTCCCTTCCTATAGTTTTTCCTATCTCTGGTTTTTCTTTTTCTACTAATATTTTCCTCTAGAGGCGACGCGTCCGTTCGCATCGACTGCGCAAGGCTGACTAACTGGGCCCGCTCTGCGCAGCTCAGTTAAGTTGCCAGCGGTCGAATCGCACGAGGGTTGCTCGAGTCGAATGCGGCCTGCCCATTGGCTCGACGACTTCCAGTTTTTTATCCGCTTTATCCGAGGCCCTCGAGTTTGGAATTGGAAGTGAGCAGAGGCGAAGAGAGTTTCCGAGCAGGTTTGATTGGTAGTACCGGCAGCTGGAGATGGAAATGGAATAGGGGGAACTGGAACTGGGAGCTGAAAAGAGAATCGAGTGCTGTGCTGCTCTAGCACCTGCGGTTGCAGCACGCGCTCCACTGGGTAATTGTACGATATAAAGCCAGGGGTTTGGGGCACTCGATGGCAAAGAACATAGCCCCCGAGCCCCAGTCAAAGCTAATTAAGTTCAGAAAAAAGTTTACAACATCGGGGATGGGTATAACAGATGGGGATGGGGATGAGAGATGGGGATCTGCTGGATGGCATGAGTTCTGATGGGTACACCTGGCGACAGTCGCTGGCAGATGCCAGTGGTCGGGCCTATTTACTCTCTCACTGGAGTTGCCCATCGGAATGGGGAACAAAGTGAAATGGTTGGAGGGCAAACAAGGGCTCGAAACAAAATGGAGATGGTTACGAAAAAGCATTGACAGTACCTCAGTCAAAGGCTTTAACAAACGTTTGATACAAATGTAGAAGCCCTTAAACAACATTTTACTGAATGTTCGTTTAAAAGGCCTTTTTAAATATTCCTAAAAATTGTATGATAGAATTTAAATTTGAAAAATATACTTAGCCTATCCTGAATTATTAGAACTTAAGAAATTTTAACCTTTCCTCTTTGATTTTTGCAATAAAATACGAACTGTTAAAGTACATAAAGTAGTATTATAAAGAAAAGCATAAATGTTTATAATGCATTTATACCAAAGAAGCTATATAAAAATTCATTATATAACTACAGCTAACGGAACTACTTCTCACGATCTCGAAAGCGATAAAAAATTAAACGATTGCAAAAAAAGAAACCGAAATGTCGAGAGCCTTGCGATATCTCCAATCTTAGATCAGGGGAAGCGATGATCGTAAAACACAATTTAGCACGCAAAAAACGGAAGTCCAAAATAAGAAATCCCGTAATAGGAAAACCTACCCCTAGCAAACCCAAACCGAAACCCAAAAGCAAATGCCATAACTCACGCATATGAATGAAGCAAAGTTGGCAAACAAATTCCTTGGGCCCCTTTGGCGATCTCAAGTCAGAGATAAACGAAACAAACATAATCATTGATGCCGAAAGGGTGAGGAAAGTCCATAATTTTCACACTTCCACGACGATTCGAAAGCCATGCAATTATGACACGAACTGAGCGAGCAACCCGCGGCGCCTTTCTGCCAAGGAGTCGTCAAAGGAGTCGCCCAAAGATCAGGATTGTAGCACGCGATAGGAACTCAAAGGATTACGTCGGACAATGGAAAAGGGTGCGCCAGGCCATCTGAGAATCGAGGGGCGTTGACACGGAAGAAGAAAGTCATGACGTTGCATATTATGAAGCGGCTGAAGACGGAAAGGGACCTCATCCTACCTGGTCCTACCAGATTCCCCGATCGCAAAAGGTGGGTGTGGCCCTTTAATGATGCCCGGAATTAACTGTTCCGTTTCAATTACGAGAGATCACTTTCCAATCAAATTTATTTGACACTTTCTCTGCGGGGGCCGTTGGAATCCAGAACTCTTTTCTCTTCAGTCCGATTGTGGCCATAAAATTGAACCAAAAATTACGCATAAATGTCATCGTAAATTCGGCATCTACCCTATCCGTCTGCGGTGTCGTGGGAAGTTACGCCCCTGGCAGTTAGTTCGCTGGCTCTGGTCTGAAGGGATTTGGCCATGGATTACAACGATTGCCAAACATATGGATGGGTTATTCACAGTATGTGAGTGCTCAAAAGATTTGTTGACTTAGTGAAGTTTAGTACATTTTCTGTTAAATTCCGAAATTTTATGACAATATATTTTGGAAAAGAAACAAATACAATTTTAAGAATCTTTGCAATATAAATATTTTTTCATTTTACAACTATTTTAGATTTCACTTATTTGCTCCATTTCTCCAAATGCATTTTCTGATCATTAGATCCATTATAAATAGTAATGCTTGCTTAAGGGAAACTTTCGAATACCCGTCATAAAGACTGGTAGTCGGATCATTATTCCATTACAACCCCTCTCCCGCCGGGAGCAGAGAAAGTTTTCCGCTTTCCTTCAGTCCGGAAGCTTATCAATTATCGGACATCTCGGTCTCGCAGTCGGACAACAATTCGCAGCTAATTAAGTGGAACTTCCCTTGGAAAGCTGGAGGATAGGAAAAGTCAACGCGGTATTGCCGCAATTAAAACCGCATATAGGAAATCATTCAATTGGCAACTAACGACGAGAAAATCCTAATGCCAGATCCCGGCGATCCGATAAGATGGCCAATGAGCCAATGAGGAACTTAGAACCACCCTGGGCAAGTCTGCGAGTCCCAGGATCGGATCATGGCAATGTTAAATGGTAAATGATTTAAAGCAAGTCTCATAATTTCTCATTGTCCGCCTGGCATTTCCACCAACTGATAAATGAAACTGAAAACATAAACGACAACAACTACAGGGACTCGCTGGTCGATGGGAGATCGAGTCAAAGCGATAATACCTTTCACACTCCGCATGGGGCCCGAAAAACAGGGGAGATCGCAGGCCCTCGATAGCGGACAGTCCGGAAAATGGGAAATTGAAATGTAAAGGCGGCTCAAAACACTCACCGAAATTCGGGACAAAATACATTGGTCGATCGCTCAGACAAGTGATCGCCGATTGCTGGCTAAGTAGCTTGGCTCACTAATCTGTCCAAACAAACGCAGGTCGGGTCAACTGAGTTGAGGTCAGGTGTGGGTTTTAATGGGCTTACATCTGGGGAATATTTATGTTCACACTGCTCCATTGTCCCCGGCTCATTGTCCATTATTTCAATGCTTACAAGAAGGATTACGAGCGAAAAAATATTTATCATATTTTCCCACGTTTAATTTTTTTCCCGAATTTTGCCCAAATTCTTTCTCGTGCATATTATTTGCATTTGTTTTGTGTTTGTGGAAATTAAGGCATTGGATTACATCACATTTACAGGCATTCTCCCACAATCCATCCAGAGATACCCGCATTCCTAGTCCTTACTGGAATTTCCAAATGCCCCAGAAATATTTTGATTGTTTAGAAGCGCGTGGCATTTAGCGGTTCTCTTCTAAAAAAATCATTCCCAGAATCCAGGCAGAATATTTTTCGAATGTGCAATTAAAGTCCCAATAAATTGCGGCCAAGAAAAGAGATCGAAGGCTCTTGACACAAAATTTTAAACCGTAAAAAAGAGAAGATTTTTCACACTTGCCAGCGGCGACAAAGCGATTCGCGATACGCAATAAAATCTAATTAGTAAACCTTCTCTCTCTGTGGAATTAAAAAACCGAAGCCGAAACTGTAAAATTTCAGGTACTTCAGTTAAAAAACACGATAATTCGACATGGCGACGACACTTCAGGCCAAACAAAGATGCCCGGACAAAGGACACACGTACGGGGATACAGAAAGGGACAGGGGACAAGGACACCCCTCTTTGCAAAAGAATAGAGTAAAAAACCACCCGATCCTTTGCCAGGGTAGCCTCGAAGATCTAACGCTGCTTACTCAAGCGCAAAAGCGAAACTTGGGAAAACAATCGTGAAACAGTTGAATTGAAAAATTTAACAATTTTAAAAAATCAAATGGCAAATAAAGTGGCAAGTTCCTTTCGCAGGACTCGTGCGCCGCGTGGCGAATGCTGTCAATATTTCCGGTGTGTCTAATGACAAACGCATGTTAACACGAGTGCGAACACATCCGGAATCCTTTTTTATTTACTTTCGCAATCGCAACTGATTGCGAGGGCCGGGCCTCCCATCCAGGAGTATTTCACGGACATCAAGGACCCGTGATTCGCGCAGCCAGACGGCAATTAAGTGGATTTACTCAAGCGTTTGCCTTTATTTGATGCGGCAATTTATAAATGATGGGCGCGATCTATCGATGGGGTTGACGATGATGGACGATCCTGTGGTGCTATAAATCCGAAAATGAATTTTACACAATTTCTAGCCGAGAAGCCAACGACCTGAGCTGTTGTGAACAATCATTTAGCAGTGCAGCCATTGCCCAAAAAGTTTATTCAACTGCATTTGAATGTCAATTAGCCTAAATTGCTAGTTGTGACTTACAACGAAACGATGGCTATTAACACGCACTGCGTCGTATCCGAAGCAATCCACCAATTAAGGGACTTTCAGGAGAATCACCATCAACAAGGGCATTATTAGAATGCGAGTGCATTCACCTCGGGATCGCCAAAGATCTTTCGTGTTCGGGGGTAAACTGGCTGGCTCAATAGCGTTTGATTTGCATCGCCCGGCGAGAGAGTATCTGAAAGATACACATATTCCAACTGATGTTCGGCTTCCGCTGCTCCACAAACTCCGTCGCACTCAATTTAATTTAATCAAATTTTCGTCCGCCGGAGGGTTCGACTCTATAACTATTTTCGGGGTGCCATTGCCATTGCCTCGCTCTTGTAATTATTAATAATATTTTCGGTCTGCCTATACGACTACTCCTCGAGCGATGGGTTGTGTGCACATAAAACGCAGCCATAAACAAAATGGCTGCAAAGTTGTTTATTCATATCGGGCACATAACTTCAATTAATCTCAATTAAGTGGCAAATATTACGATCTCATGTCCGTTGGAACTTTCGTTTTAGGGTTCACTTAGCCCTATTTGAGTTTGTTTATGGATATTGGGGGTAGAGCCACTGCCTCCGAAACCAATTGAGGATTTGCCCTAGGCCTTGGGCACATCAATTCCTATTGTAAAACCTCTAAAACGTAAGTGGGGGAGGAGTTCTTGGCTTTGAAGTTTTGAGTTTATTGGCATGTTAGGGCTATAAAAAACATTGTTAACTTCTGGGAGAAAGGGGAATTTATGTAAAGATAATAATTGCCAAAGAATTATTATAAAGTAAGAAACTAGTTTTTTAGTTCCTTATTTATACTTAGTTCTAGAAAATTAGTTATTATTAGACATAGGATTTTAGGTGAAATCGTTTTTTTTAAATACGATTTAAAGCCACATTTGATTGGTTACAAATTTTATTTATTAAGATACAATTAGATTTAGGCCAAAATTAATTGAGGTTTTTTTAAAAAAATTGTGTCCAATCAAATGTGGCTTTAAATCGTATCTAAAAAAACGATTTCACCTAAAATCCGATGTCTAGTTATTATATTATTAGTCCATATTTATAAATATCTTCCATTTTAATAAATATCAATAATTCTTCACAATATTGGGAATACAATATGGAATAAATACTATTAGGTTTTTAATGGTCTTTCAAAGTAATATGCAGGAATATTTAAAATATAATATCGAATATTTTTATAATAATATATTAAAAATATATTAATATATTTTAAACAATTAATATTCCTTTAAAAAAAATTAATGATCTCTCTTTTTTTATGATATTGATTGGATTTCTTCAACAAATTAGAAATTAGAGCCTATTTACCAAACAATCGCTGAGCAATGGTGTGAAAAATATTCGGAGGGAAGGCTGGAAACAAAAACCCCTTTTTCTGAGGAGCCAGCCCGTTTCTTAACCCTCGTCTGTCGCAAACAAGACGTCACTCTCCTTACAATACTACAAAGGTCTTGAGAGGAGATGAGAGGAGAGCAACCCTACAAGTAATGCTCGGATCCACTCGGATCCTGCGAGCCCTTCAGGGCTTTTTGTTATTTGTTTCACATTCGGGACATTTGCTCACTTGAGCGAGTCCGGCGATCTCTGGAACTCAGAACTTTTCCTTTTCCCCCGTATTGATTACAGCAATATGTGCCCGCAATGCGATTAGAGGCAGCAAGATGTTAATGCCAAACTGAACCCTTGGCCGGCACTTTTGTGCTCAAATTATCGCATTATGCTCATGCTCGTACGAGTATGCAAAGCATTCCCCGATATTGGTCTATTGTTCCGCTATCAGTTATGCAAAATGCCGGAGAGCTCGCCCCTTTGTCGGATTGCGATAATTTCCATCTTTAAATATTCATTACAAGACGTCGAGGTCTGGGTTGCCCTATCGCTTTGATTGATTACTCAAGTGGTTTATCGTGTGCGGCAATTGTTGCTTTGCTTCGGTTTCCTTCGGCTTTTGTTCTGCGGATTGTGAATGGGACTTGGATTTGAATTGGAACTGCAACCCAGCGAGGGGCGTGGCATTTCTTTCATTCTCCTAGCGGAAAGGAACCCACAAGGAGGCCTGCATGTTGGTCACTTGAGAGTTGCGACTGTTTCCATTCAGTTGTCATCTAATAGCCCAGCCAGTTATTATTGAAATATCTGCGAATTTGCATGGCTGAGCATGGCTGGGTTTTCTAGTGGCCTCCGAAAGCAGCTGCAGGAAAATTTCGCAAATGCGGATTTAATGAAATCGATCTTTTAATTTCCATTTTTCCCTTTGGGGGTGCGTCTCGAGACCTCCAAGGGCGTAACCTCAACTAAGTAGCTGCAAAGGTTAATGCGGAAATTTTGTAAGAACGAAAATTGGCCTTATGATAATTTTATGAAAACTCAACTTCCTTCCAACTTCATGGTTTTTGGCTTCAATAAAAATTGTATTTTAAATAGGCAAAAATAAAAATGGTTTTAAATAAGTAAATAAATAAAGATAACAAAATTTATTTGAGCGAGAATCTAAAAAATAGAGACAAATAAGATTTAATAGATTTCTTCAGATACAATTATTATAAAAATCAAAACTAGATAAATCCGAGTTGAATTCCTTGAACATTTAGACCTGATAGATTCTCCCACTTAACCCCACAACAACAACATCTGGCGGCGATGCGTGAGAATTTTTCGCATGTCTGAGCTGCATGGCGACGTCATCAAGCCGCAGGAAGCTTACAAGCAGGCTGCCACAAAGGGTACACAAAGAGCCCTCAAGTGGCACAGTTTGAGCTTCCACGACGACGACGCTGATGATGATGATGAGGACGACGATGTCTGTCAAGAGGCCACTCATATATTTGCAACAACTCGAGTGGCTCCGTCCAGATCGAACTTGGATGGGCAGGGTGGTTTCCTCCGGCCTCCGGTCCCCCAATCCTCCGATCCTCCGATTCTCCCGTGGTGCTGCGGTGTGCACATAAGCACTCAAGTGTCCGGAATATCGAGCTCGGCTCCTCGGAAACAGCAGCAGATTGTCGCAAATTGTTTCATTTCGAGTTTCGCTACTCGGCGATGTGTGAAAATTGTTTTTTTTCTTTCTCCCCTGACTGTGATCTTTTTGAGGGAATATTATAATTCATTGTTGCTCGGATTTGAAGATCATCTACTTCCTGGCACAATTAAAAGCCATTGCAATTAAGCGAATTCATTTCGAAAAGGTCATTGTGGGATTTCCTTCGCCGCCATCATATTCAGTTTTCAATCCGGCTGAAAAGGAAAAATCTCCCGAGTTTCTTCCAGTAATTACCACTCGGCTTGTGTCAATCAAGGCAACTGGTTTATCGTGGGTAGTTTTAATTGAATATTACAAGAGGGATGTGCATTAATAAGGAAATCAATTTAAATCTCAGTCGCTGGCATGAGAAAAACTAAACTCGAAACTCTAAAAAATCTGCGGGCGTAGGATCCGATCCCCGATCCACGGACCACCAAACGGTGGTGCTAATCAGGGTGATGTGTCTAACGGCTGTTAATGCCGAACTGAAAATCTCTCAATGAAGCAATAAGTTTCAATTGAACTGGAGTTCAGTAATTAAAGTACAAGGTCATGAGTTTGAATTACCAGATTGAATTGAGCATGGCATAGTTGCCCGTAATCTTGTGTTTATTTTGATACAAAACTCCGACCAACACGAAGGCTAATCTTGGCCAACTAATCGATTAAGTTATCTCTAAGTGGTTTTCGAGATAGTCCCAAAACCGAAGAACTAGAAACCGTGCGAAACCTGCAGTCACGGTTCTGCTGAAATACTAGTAACATGCGGGTGCGCACCACCGAAAAGGGGGAAAACTATTAAAAATATTGCGAAAACTCTGAGAACCACGCAAGATTCCTAACAATTCCCACAGAGAATTTTCGATTGGTAAGAGCCAATTGGATTGTATATAGTTTTGATTATTAAATTATTTCCTTTATTTTAGTAACCCAAAAATGGTTTGTCTACTTCTACTTTGCACTCTTCTCGTTACTTCAATCGGCTTCACCAACAGTGTTACTTTCGTTGGTGATGATCCTGTGGTGGAGCTTTCGTTGGGCAAAATACAAGGTGGCACCATGCAGAGCTTCACAGGCAAGACAATCTACGCCTTCAGAGGCATACGATATGCCCAATCTCCAGTGGGGCCTCTTAGGTTCACCAATCCTCTTCCCGAAAAAGGTTGGGGTGACGAGGTGCTCAAGGCCACAAGCGATTCCCTGGTTTGCCCACAACCAGGAATTACCTTGTTTATGAGTGAGGATTGCCTGAAACTAAACGTTTTTACAAAGAACTTCGAGGACAAGCTGCCAGTGATCGTTTACATCCATGGAGGAGCCAATGTCCTGGGCAGTGGTCACAGTGTCTACGAAGGAGGTCCTCAATATTTGCTAGATCACGACGTGGTCTTTGTGGCCTTCAACTATCGTCTGGGAGCTCTGGGATTTTTAAGCACAAACAGCAGCGAATCGCTGGGAAACTTCGGCTACCTCGATCAAATGATGGCTCTGGAATGGATTAGAGATCACATATCTCACTTTGGTGGTGACCCCGAGCTGGTGACTATTTTAGGAATGAGTGCTGGTTCAATGGCAGTCAGTCTTCACCTGGCCTCGCCCCTTTCCGCAGGTCTCTTCCATCGCGCCATCCTCATGAGCGGCTCGGCCACCAATCACTTTGATATCGATAACCTTTTTTGGACACGTAAACTAGCCCGTGAACTGGGCTGTCCGATGTTCGATCCCACGGATGTGGTGCAGTGTCTGCGTAATGAGTCCTGGGCACGAATTGTGGAAATCTGCAAGGCCTGGGAAACACATCAGTTTATTAACATGAAGTGGAACTACGAGATCGACGGGCATTTTCTTACAAAACATCCCACGGAACTCATTCAGGAGGGAAACTTTAACAAGGTGCCTTTGCTAATCAGTTATACGGCCAATGAATTGGACTACACCGCTAATGGTGAGGTATGGAAATAGTATTCGAATAGATCTCAAACTAATGTTATTATATCTCTTAGTTCACCTGGACAACGAGCCTTTACTTCACGATCTTGGTTCAAACTTTGTGGAGTATGCCCCAGAGTTGTTTCTCTATAGTCAAAATAGAATCATTAGTCAACGACTGAAGTATTATTACCTGGGTGATAATATTACCGAAATTAATGCAGATAACATTGAACAATTTGGACGGATCTTCTCTGATGGAATCATAGGTCATGGTGTCCATCGCCTCGTCCACCTGGCCAGATACTTTACTCCAGTTTATCATATGCGCACGGATTACGTGGGTGAGAGAAGTGTATCAGCTCCTCTAAATGAGGATAAAAAGCCCCTGGGAGTGGGTCATGCGGATGATCTGCAGTACGTGATGCCGGGTCTTTGGTATGGCTCTATAATGACAGAAGATCACTCGGATATTTTCATGATGGAGCGTTTAACCAGCTGGTTTACACACTTTGCCAAAACGGGGTAAGTGATTGTATTCGTTAAATTGAAACTTAAATTAAAACTTTGGAAACCGTCTTAAGAAGTGAAATGAAAGACATATGGTTTTTTTGGGTAAACAATGAAACCTATTCGATACTCTGTTGCAGAACACCCCTTAACACCACCGATAGCTGGCCGCCCTGCAACTCAACGGACCTGAAGATGCTCTACAACGGGGTGGTGACCCAGGTGGGCTATCCCGGCTACTCCGATCGATATGGCGTCTGGGAAGAACTGTTTCCCCCGCCCACCAAGAGCGGAGGCGCTGCCTGGGAACTTGGCTTCGCCCTCCCCTTCGCCATCGCCATCGGGAAATTAATGTAGCAATTAGGTGTGGAAAAAGCTTATCAATAGGCCGTTTAGATTACGCTAATGACCTTCGACCGTTTGCTCTTGGCTCGCTCTTTTCCGAAGCAGAGCATTGCAACTATTTACTTTGATTAATTAATCAACAAAGGCGTGAGATTTTCCCTGGCTCTCCTTGGGGGCAATTAGTCTTTTGGCCTGGAGCGGATTGGGGCAGCTTAAATACACATTAATTTGTCTTTAAATGTTTTTGGCTTTGCACTGCTTTTTGTACGGGGGGCGGAACTTTGGAAGTCTGACCTTTTTGAGCTTTGAGTTGTTGTATTATTGTCAGGTTGGCATGTGTAAAAACAAAAACTGCTCTGATTTCAGCCTCCCCCTGCGTTAAAATCCGAGGTCTTATCCCATTACACAGAGAAGCGCTGCTATTGACATTTACGATTTGCTCTTGCGTGAAAATGCCAAACAATGCGATGGGATACAAAAGGATTATCGCCTGGCCCGCCCCCTTTTTGGGGGTGGTTTGATGGGAGTTGACAGACTTTCCATGATGGGGATTAATAAATGATGAAGTTTAAAGGGAGACTTCTTTAAAACATCCCAGAACTGAATTCAAGAAATTATTTACTCATTAGCACTCATGTTCATTGGGGTCAAGTTGTAAGGCCTCTGCCAAAACCACAAAGGACACACACAAGGACATGACTGCGCTGCGAAGTTGGACCAAAGAAAATATGGAAAATTAACTTGTTAACTTGTCCCATTGAAATATGAGGGGCCAAGGCAAACAGTTGGCCAAGTATACGCATTGTGCCCTATTCCCTTTTGGGACATGTTAACGAAACCCACAAAAAGGTGGGCAAGTCAACATGACAAAGTCCTCTGGCATTCTGGGATGACTTGACTGAAATGACAATGAAAATGGGCAAAACATTTGCAAATTTTAATTAAATTTTTGCCTTAACATTAACACATTAAATTGCGCTCTTCCACCGAGATTGATCACTAAGGGGTAACACCTTTAAGGCAGCTGGAAAAATGCGGAAAGAGTTGTAGGTGCCGTGTGTGGAAATGGATATCGAGTGGCTTTTGTGACTCAATTACAATAAGTCTATTAAACTTGTGTCTGCGGCCTGTCTAGACAACACAACGATCAAGGATCGAGAGTCGAGGATCGAGGATCGAGGATACGACCCCGATCAGTCACAATGTCTCCTGTCTAGGCTCTAAATCGAGCATTGAGCGCGTGCCCCTTTTGACTTTGGCTCTTTGTGGGCCTCTAACAAAACAGAAACAGCCTCGATGATCTCGAAGGTGAGGGTATATAGAATGGGTTCGATGATCACAAGGACGAGGATGATGATGATGCGAAGGTGTTCCAGCTGCCGATTCGTTTGTGGCCGCGTCTCGATTTCACTTTCGCTACGCCTGCGCCATGGTTTTTCGATGGAAAACCTGGCCCGATCTCGATCCCTTGCTCTTTTTGTGACGCATCATCATCATCATCCCCCTCAACCACCTCGCATGGCGGGTTTGATTACGTTTTTATTGAACGCTCGCTCACAAAAGGAGTAAACATTTTGAAGTAGCGCCAAGGATCGAATGCTTTATAGGCTTGTCAGCGGTTCTGTCTGGTCCTCTGGTTTTTGGTTTTGGTTCCCCGTTTATGCGTTCTGTCAACATATCGGATTACGCCCCCCGGCCGATTTGAGGCCCATAATCGCTAATGACAATACAAATTGAGAGAGAGAGAGTGCCGGTTGAGAAGTGGGGAAGGATTCATTCGATTTCGCTTTGTTATGCGTGTTTTCTGGGAAGACTCAGGCCACTTTGTTGGATGGACAACACACGCACGAAAGTATTTTATTTTGGCTGCCCTTTTCAGCTGACGGACAACCAAACCGATTGATTGGTATTCGTGGAAGGATCTCCTTTGACAGAGCTTTGATCACACAGGAGGTTCTTTGGGAAATCAGTTTTCACTTTCCCAAAAAAACAACTCCATTAATTTTCCCCCACCTCGCTGGCGCCTACGATCTCTCAATCTGACAGATACTTTCCCTACTTTCCCGTCCTGCGGTTAATTACATATTTATACAAATCCAAATCGCTGTGATTAATGATTGGTCCTTCCCCCGCACTTGCAGCAGATCCCAGGCTCAAGTGACCGACATCAAAGCGACTGGAAAAAGGACACTCGTATCTGTTTGTTTTGGGTGAAAGTGTTCACATCAAACGACCTTAAAATTAATTGTCTTGCCCCTTTTTCCACTTTTTAGTTTTGTTTCGGGGGGAAAGGGAGACTCTGATGCACAACTTGATTATTCGATAACCAAAATATACACGGCTTACATATGAGACCGCCGCACAAAGGAAAAAAGAGTGCCCCATTGTCTGGCTGTCTATCTCAGGCTACTCCAAGTTCCAATTCCAAGCTGCCTTGTGTGTGGTCGCTGCCTGAGTGTCTTTTGTTGTTCTCCCCGATATGAGAATATGTATAATATATCTGTATATCGTTGTCGCTTTTGTTTGAAGACCCGGCGACAAAAACACGTCGGCTAAAAGGAGCGAAGCAATCATAATTATGCATGTTTGGACCCTGTTAATAGAAATGTTTCACGGACCACCAAAGCACGATTTATGATAGTCACAGTCAAATTTCAAATCCCACCCAACTAACCACAAATCAATCGACTGAAACACACCCACTTTCGGTTGAGATTGCCATCTTTTGCACCCAATTCGAAGGCCATAAAAAGCGCAGCCACCCAAGTGGGCGAAACCACCCAAATAGTCGCAATTACAAGCGCGTTAAGTGCCGCATGTCCTTTGCAAATATTTGTTTGCAGTTTTCCGATACGCGACTCCTGTCACTCCCTCCTCCCTTTCCCCCTTGCCTAATCCCATTTTCGGCTGCTGTGTTGTCAGATGTGATTATTAATGTGCTTTAAATAATGAAAACGAAACAACATCCGAGTGGCACCCTCAACAACAACCGACAAACGAAATCAGTGCGCCCTCGAACGTATGCTAGTTGTCACAGGGGTGCGAGGCTTTTCCGATTTCCAGGACTCGCAGAGGAAGGACCAACTAATGAGTGTAAACAACGGATGGATGCCGGAAAAAATACAGCAAACAAACTGCCACAAACTGTTTGATTTGTCGCTCAGGACTAATGAAACCAAACATTAGCGAGCCCAGGACACCCTGCCCTCCCCTCCCCCCTCTCTCTTCTTTTGTTGAGGGAAGATAGCTCTCCGAGGACTTGGTCCTCAGCTATCGGGGGTTGCCTCTGCGGATTGTTGCAATTTTTTTTTGCTGTCCTCGAAAGGGATGTTGCTAGGTCTGCACTGGCAGAAACAACTTGCAAGTCATTACATACTTGAAAATCAATTATTTTTTACTTTCAAGGAAACTAACAGTGATTAAAATATTAAAAAATATACCGTTCTTTAATATGGTTTAGGGGCTGATTTTTTGTTGGTTTGCTAAATTTAAAATAGGCTTTAAACTAAACTTTACTACCGATATATTTTCAAGGTTTGATTTCAATTTAATTTAATTATCTCTTTTTGTTCAAAAATACATATTTTCAAGAATTTTTTGAATTTTGTATTAAATAAATTAATTTTGTAATAAATAACAAATTATATTTAAATCTTTAATCTTTAATAACATTCAAGATTCTTGAAAGACATCGAGACATTTTATTTCGTATTTAATAACATTAATAACATTTAAAAACTAATACAAATTAAGTTGAAATTGATCACATTCTAAATAAGCAGTATATTTATTCAGCAACCAATGTAATCTGTACCTTCTACTACTTACTAATTTCCTTTGTGGAACCCGTTTTGTTCTCAGTGTAGAGTGCACACTGTTTGCCCCGGCAATGGGTTCTCGGTTCCTGTAAGTTGATTACGTGGTTGACGTTGACACTGAACTACAATATGAGGGCACGGAATGCGGCTGCACATCCACTTCCACATCTCTGGCTGCTTCTGCGGCAGCTGTCTTCACGTGAATTGCAGTCGAGGCGATGGTACGCTCAACTCTTCATCACCTTGTGGCACCTTTTTGCTGGAAAAAAAAGGCAAAAGCTACGTGATCGCACTGGCCAATGCTCCTGCTCATCATCGGTAGCCACCTGGGGGTGTGGACTAAATACTAAATACCAAATGTAGCGCCAGTCAAGGGTCAGGGCCCCAGAGCAAACAGACCAAACAGAGCAACTGTATCCAAGTTTTGACTGGTGCGCGGAGCTCGTGGGAAACTCTCTCGAGTGGCATGCGGGTGTGGTTTTCCTTCTGCGAGTGTGTTTTGGCCACAATTAATGAAATTGTATTTTATGCCACAATTTCGTGTGATTAATAGTCCGGCGTCTGAGCTTGGAGTCTGGGAATTGGGCAGGCAAATGGAAATGCTCTTTGGGCCCCCGGCGCATCTTGATGCACTTGTTCTAATGAGCTCCATCGACTGGTTGTAGCAGGTATGTTATTGAGCAATTAGTTAAACGATCCACTAAACCGTTGACAGTCAGCTCTCCAACATCAATCAGAGCTGCAACTTTCACATGGCTAGAACACAATTCGTCATCGATTAGTCGGTGCTAACCGCCAGTAGAATTTCTGACATGCTCATTAAAGTTTATCGAAGAGTTTTCAGGAAAAACAAAAGGAGGAGGGAATAAAACAAATAACTCGAGGGCTGAGGAATGCGAGGGCTTCCAAGGCTCGTAAAACTTCAGATCCCCATGGAAGGTACTCGGCTTCGGATTCGGGTTCCCATTAAGCGACCCACCCCTCTGTGTCAGTTAGTCAATAAGCGAGACACCGTGCAACACGATCCATCATCGCAAGTCGAAAGCTGCACAAAACTATTATTGAAACCCGATGCCGCGATGACAACAGACAACGAAACTCTGTTCGCAGATATTTGACATCCGGGGAGAGATGAAATAAGGGGGAGACTGACTCACTGACAGACAGATCATCGGTACTAGCCCTCAGCATGGGATCATGAAAATGGAAGACACAGCTTGCGATCGGCACGCGACTCCTCCAAGCTGCCACTTCAAATGGTTTCCAATAAGCGACGCCGCAGGATCATGACAGTTATTAAAAACTCCGC